GGGAAATGTACACAGTTACCAAGAGCCTAAAGATGACATTTGTCAAGAAATTAATTGAATTCCTGTCATTTTAAATGTCAAGTATCATATTAGGTTCAGGGAAAATCCTGGCTGGCTTTGCTGGCCTTAAACAACGTTCTGAACCTGAGGTGAGGAGGCGTCTCCATGACGATAAAACGACCCACTTGTTTCCATTTATAATCAGGTGTGAAGATTAATGGTGTTAGATGAAAGGACATTAGAAGAAAAAAACGTCTCATCTGGTAAAACAGTTCAAATGGTCCAGATATTGCAGTTAATGGTCTTTTGTTTGTCCGTTTTAATCTTCAGTAGTAGTAGCAGCACTGTGTGTGGTTCAGGTATACATAAAAGGATGGGATGGAACAGATTGGTGGGAAATCGGAATGACGTCCCTTTCCGGGATTCGGAAGGCAGCCACGTCAGGATTGGCGTGCCTGAAAAAGCAAAACGACACATGCAGATCCACGTGCCCCCGTCTGTAACACACACACACACACACACACACACACACACACTCACATGCCCACTCAGCGTATCCACGCTGACAGCACGGGGACTCCATGTGTCTGAATTACTCAGACTGTTGGAGGACGTTCTCGTTTTCCCAAAAACGAGCCTTTCCCACATGCTAGCCTTTGATGGCATTTCCACTTAACTCTTAAACAAATAGGAGGTGACCGCTTTACTCTCTTAACCTCCTGAGACCCAAAGAAAAAAAAGTGTCTTCAGATTTCTTTTTTGTTGTGATTTTCCATGTATTTGGACCTAAAAAAGAACATTACAATTTAAATTAAAAAAAAAAAATATTTTTCATAGCATGTCCACTGTGGAGGACAACAGGACGATTTGCATGGGAAAATAGAACAGGCTTTAGATAATTAAATAATAAAAAAGAAAATGTCTTGAAAGGGATATTTACCTAAGAACTCTTAGGAAAAAAGTAAAGTTCCCAGCATGAAAAACCTATCACATGGCACATCACTGGAAAGCCCAGGATGTCCTCTATAGAACACTATAGGGCTTGATAGGGTAACTCCAGATACTTAGGGGGGTACAGGTGGACAAAATGTCCACTATAATGGACATAAATGAATGGGCCGGTTCTCAGGAGGTTAAAGCAGGACTGGGCAGCTCCAGGACTCTTTGGGGTCACAGTCCTGCAGGTTTTTAGAGGTTTTCCTGCTTCTACACACCTTACTCACACCAACACAACATCAGCAGTCCTGTCCAGAGCTGAAGAAGAGATTAGTTTGATCTGAGTCTGGTGTGTAGAAACAGGGAAAAACCTCTAAAACCTGCAGGAAAGAAGCCTGGAGTTGCCCATCCCTGTTTTAAAGCACTAAATTTTTTAAAGATTTTATTCGCCCTTAGTGTGAATAAGTCAGGCTTATGCAAAAGAAAGCAAACAGGTAACGAATAACAAACATTATAGAGATCACACTCACTGTTTATTCCTTGATTCAAGAGTTCTCAAATTTGTAGATCTGATCAATTTCAGAACTGCTCAAATTCTTTATAAATCAGGAAAAAACTTACTTCCTGAGCACATACAACAAGTGTTTTCTGATAGAGATGGAAAATCTAATCTAAGAAGAAAATTACATTTCAAAACTAAGTAGGTTCGAGAGTGAAGCTCTGGAACAGCTTGCCTGAAAAAATTAAACAATGTAAAAGCATCCAGCAATTCAAAAAAGAATATAAGAAAAGTATTTTTGATGAATACAAAAAAGAGTAATATATAAAAATTTGGTATACTGTTTGTCTTACTGTAAATAATTGTCCTTTACCACCATGACACATGTAACTGAGGGGTGGGGCTTAATAAGCTTAAGCTTCATCCTACTCCTTTTTGAAACAAAATGCATGTTTAGCATTCAATGTAAACTTTGTTAAATCATATCATGTTTCAAAATAAATGAAATGAAAGGCTGCATAGAGTTTTATCTTTACAGACCTTCAGAATAAAGGAATGAGCAGCGTCTGATAAAAAAAACACTGACATCTGAGACAGTATGTCACTGTACAAGTCTAATTACTTATAAATGCTGTTTTATATCTGGAGTTGTAATAAAAATAATTTCCTTTTGGGATTATTATTTATTTCTGATTCTGATTCTGATTCAGATTCTGACATGTTCTCTATGTTGCCAAATGTATCCCTCACCAAATATTAACAATAATCCAAATAATAATAATCAAAATAATTGAAAACAGGGGTTCCAATCAGTTCCATGGACACAGGTTTCTGCAGACTGTTTCTAAATAAGTTGTGAAGGAATGGGTTTGTTCCGGAAATGTCCTCATCCCTCAATATTCCACAGTCTGCTGTATTTATTGGTGGAGGGGGATTATGGTGTGGGCTGTTTTTCAGGAGCTGGGCAGGGCCCCATGGTTCCAGTGAAATGGAACTATTCCACGATTCCAATTAGTGGTCAGAATGTGGAGTCGGTTCCTCGTCCAACATGACAGTGGACCAGCGCAAAAAAACACGACCAATCAGAGACGAGAGGTGGACGGGAGTTTGGTGGGAGTTACCTTGACTGATATTTGGCCTGAGCTCCACTCGACAGGACACGGGTGTCCAACGTCAGAGTCCCACCTCACAAACGTACCTCTGGAAGGTCCTCAATTCCCATAAACACACTCCGAAACCTTGAGGAAAGCCTTCCCAGAAGTTTAGAAGCTGTTATACTGTAGATGCAAAAGGTCAACCACCATATTGAACCCAATCAGTTGATTTGAACAGCAATTTCTATTTGATTTAACAAAACAAAGCAAACAAAAAGGCCAAAAAGTTGTGGAAACCTTGACATGAAGAGTATTTTGTTATACAAATGATATAATTTGTGGTGTGGTGGTTAGCACCGTAGCCTCCCAGCAAGAAGGTTCTGGGTTGGAGTCCCCGGGGGAACCAGGACCTTTCTGCCAGAGGGTTCTGGGTTGGAGTCCCGGGGGGAACCAGGACCAGAGG